AACAGCCCTGCACGCCCCGTGGAAGAGGGGATCTCTCTTACTCGGTGCTTGCGTGGCACTTAATACAAAGGGTGCCTCAACTTAGCGGTGGCCTTTTAAGTGCCACAACAATACTACTAATAATCAAGGTTACAATTTTACTGCCAAGGCTGTATTATTATGTAGCATTATACCTTCGAACATGCCTATTCTCATTTCTAGCAAAGAGCTCAGCTCAGTGCTCCCTGTTATAAATCATATGCTAATTATAAGTGTAATCTGAACAGCTTTTACTTTTCTTTTAAAATGACTGTATAGGGCACAAACTTTGTTGTGGTGCTGTGTTGCCACTTTGCCTGAGGTGCCTTTGTCCTCTAGCATAGCTCCACGTGCAGAATATCAGCAAAATACTGGGAGGCCAGGAACAGCGTTTGCATAAATTGCTTATATTGCAGGATTACACCAACAGCGCTACCATTACTGCTGGTAATTTGATTCTAGCCAATCCTTTAACACATGTAACTTGAAGAAACTAAGTACCTATTAGGATGGAAGCTCCTAAATGTGCTATCAGCCTTCATGTAAACCTCGTGTTATTTAAAAATACCTGGTAAAAATGGAAATTGCACACTCAGTTAAATGTTAGTTTTCATCAGTGCATCAGCATCAGATTGATTTAATTCTTGATGAAAAGTTGATGCTTGGAAAAACCCAGGAACAATGAGCCAAATTCTGGCCTTGGCGAGATCCCAGTTCTTCAACGGGCTGAGCATCATCTGAGCAGCACTCAGCAGCTTAAGCCCTCTATGAGTCACTTGTACCTTTTTATTAGCAGTCCCCAGGAATCTGCCCCAAAGACAAATGCAATATTTCTGGCAGTGCCCTTGGGCTTTGGTGGAATTGTACTGGTATAATCGAGCAGATGGGAATGGGGATGTGACCCATTTTGGTTCCAGCTAGTGATGAGCTCCATTTCAGAAGTCATTACAGGCCAAATCTGCCCTTGTGACAGGACTACCAAAAGCCCTGGGCAAGTCCCACTGATGCCCTCAGAACAGCTCTTCAAAGGCATTTTTGGGTGAGCTGCTGTGATGGTTCCCGAGAGAGTTGATCTTTCACCCTGACCTGCTGTACAGGTACCGAGCCCAACAGCACTGACTCCATCACCATTTTGCTTCTAACCCATCTTCAGGGGCAACTGTGACACAGAGGCACAGCTCCCTTCCCTCCCTTCACTACTGCACATGTCCCAGCTTAGCCAACGTTCTCCTTTTTCTCTTCCCTTCCCTAGGCTGAAGGTGCGTAACAAAACATAGGGTCCCTGCTGATGGTCACCAACACTTGCAGAACTAATGAGGTGGAAAGGGATGTTGGTTTTTGGGGTTTTTTTCCCATTTTAATTAGTTTTGGGGGACATTTTGTGTGTTTGTTGTTTGGAGATTCTTTTTTTTGTTCTAACCTCAAGCAGGGAAGTTGCATACAAAACCTGACAACCTCACAGCCGTGATCTTGCAAGCAAAACATTGGCAGGAAATGCAGCACACAATTCCCTCTCAATACTCAAAATAAGGTTCAGTGTCCTTCTTCACTAGCTGAAGACAGAGTTAAAAAATGAAGTCTTAGTAAGTCTGACAGGCTCTCTGACATACAGTGATCATCTCTGAAACATCCTGCTCTCTTTCCTTGGCTGTAGCTGGCCAAACACCATCTCTGCTCAGCCCTTCTCACCTGTTGTAGCTCTCAGACCCCTCCTCCCTTTTCAGCCTTGCTCTAAGGAGCAGATCATCACCCTTTTCCCTGTGGATAGTCTATGATGAGCTATTTTTATTCTCTCTCTCTGCAATTCCCTGACTAACTTCCCCATGCCAAATACTCACTAAAAGTCATCAACCTTCAGCAAGGCCAACAAATGAATCAAATCTGCTGCCAGGTCATTTAGGAGATGAGCTAGTACAGAGTTAGGAACATTGTTTTAAAAGTCCATAGCAAGGGAATATTTTAAATGCCACAGCTTTAAAAAGTCATATCCAAACTTCCCAGAATAATTCTGTAGATGAAGCTCCAGAGGAGTGGCTTCCTTTAGGAACATTAGGGCTTATAATAAACTATTTTTCTGCACTTCATAGAACAGTCCACCCACCCAATCTTCCACCTACAAGTGTAACACTATATACAAATGTATAAGGCCTCAAAGGAGAAAAAACATTCAGAATATACTGTCTTCACTGCTTTGCTGAATGATTTGCACCACAATTTACATGAACAAAATGTTTTTAGTTATATTATCACTGCATTGCTTTTAAATCTCTCCAACTGCATATCATTTTTCCTCCCTCCTACATTTTCATTTCCCTTCAAGCTACAGGATGGAGCTACTGGGCACTGGTAAACTGCCACTGCACACTCCCTCCTCCTTCTGAAGTAGATGCATAGCAAAGACAGGTGATGTGACCTCTGCATAGAAACCTCTTACCTACCTCTCTGTGAAGGTAAAGATCTGCTCTGAGCACAGTTAGTATAGATCATCTAATGTTTTCTTCCCCATCCAGCTCTTCCCCTCATGTTGTCATTAGTGGATCTACAGGCAGGGAGAGTGAGACACTAGGAGTTTTTCAAACACAGGGCTGTCTTAAAGTGAGTTATGTTTTCGAGGGGCAGGGAAACAGCAAGGAGGAAGCTAGCAAACCAACCCTTGCTTTAAAACTGAGGGAATGAAATGCTATCCTGGAAGACCTAAAGTGTAAGGGACAGAAGGAATCTCATCCCTTCCAGCTGCATGTGGCAGTCCTGCCTCCCAGAGCAGCCTGGCTTCTGCCTCTCCTCTGAAGGAGAGACTGAAATATCCCAGAAACCTGGGGCTTGTCCCAGGGAAAGGGAGGAGAAACAGCTGCCCTTCCTAGGGAACGTGAAAAGCACATAGCCAGCCAGACCTGCTTGAAGAGCTTAGGAAGGCGGTTGAGGGAGGGAAAGCCTGTGCACTGGCCATAGTTACTTCTGACAGAAACGCAGCCTGCCAGGAACACTGTATTGCTCGGGGCAAGCAGTTACATGGCTGGGTGGCGTGCCACTCCCGCAAACTGTGTCACTTGGCACACATCTGGCTGGCACAGCTGGATCACCTCACTCAGGTGTTTTATTTCAGCACCTGACATAACACTGGCAAGCCACACACTCCACACACAAACACCAAAACCACTCTCCCATGCATCCCCGTTGAGCTTGCTGACGAGCGCTTTACACGCAGCACATGCAGGCACCATCTCCACCATCCACTCAGCCCTCTCTGCTGCAAACGCAGCTTTAGCACGCAGCACCTAGATAAACTCCAAAGCTCCAAGGTTAAGTGGGAAATAGAAATCCAGTGACCCCTGGCTGGGCAAGTGAACTTAATGACTTGTCTGCTGCTGTATGTACCAAACATATGCCAGCAAACATCTTCCTGAGCAGCCCCTCCAAAGGAAAAGATTGATGGAAGCGATTGCCTTTAAAAATGGGATTAAGTCAGCTGGGAGTCCTGCTAGAAAAGGGTTAATAGAATATATGAATTGCTAGTGAGTGGAAGGGAGAGGAGAGAAGCTGGGAGGCAGAGGCAACACCCCTTGTTAGGTGTTTACCATGTCACATCTAAACCCCTTCCATCGCATATGCAAGGCAGATGAATTACTCTGTAAATCCTATTACTCCGTGTGGATAAATCTTACATGTGAGTTAACAAGTCTGGAGAGCTGGGGAATGGAAGCTGCTGAACGAATATTCCAGGATCAAAACAACCCAGCACACGGGAGCTGAGAGAAGCAATATGCGTACACACACACATCTTCCTCTTCTAGCATCCTTCTTCCCTGATCCCATCTTGCTCGCTCACATACTCCTCTGTCATTAAATGAGAGGGATGCAGGACACAGGGGATCATGTAGCAGACCATTTGGTGACATCTACCAGGATTTATTTTGGAGAAAGAGAAAGAAAACTTTGCTGCTGCTGTTAGCTTTGCTAGGGAATTGCTCCCTTGATGCTTCAGGGTTTGTGCGCTATCAGCTTCTCATACAGATTACAGACTTATTTTAAATTACGTCCACTGGTTTTATAGCCATAATACACAGTGTGTGCACAAACTCACATGCACAGAGTTAGCTTCAGTAGGGAAGTTACTGCAGGTAAGTTGAGAGAGGCAGAATTTGAAAAAGAAACCCACAGAAAAAAGATGACTGCATTTCGGATATTTGGGATGCTCCTAACTGAAAGCCCAAGTAGCCTCGGAACTACCTTTAGAAAACATGCACGATGAATGCAGGAATATAACACTCTGTACTGCCAGTGAACAAGGCTTCATGTACAAAGACACCCTCATCACAACCACTCAGATACACAGGCACAGCATACACCCATTTACTTAGCCCTGCAAAAAAACCAACACAGAGAATGAGATACAAGCTTTGTAAATGTCAGAGCTCTTACACCATTTTTTCACCAGCCTTTTCAACTACTGCTACATCTCCCCTTCCTGCAGGGCAGAAAAAATAAATTAAAAAAAAATAATTAAAAGCCAGAGTTTCCCAAAAGAACTTGCCTAAGAGTTCTGGCAGCACCAGGGATAAAGTTTTTGCATAGGTACAGAAAGAAGTACGGGAAGATCAATGGAACATCTGGCAAGCACAGCTGGATCCCTTTTTGATTCCTCTATTGATACTGCAGGGCTCGTGGAAAATGTACGTTCACAAGAGCTGGCTAACACAAACAGATCTTTTCCCACTGAAATCTTTTTGATCCAGAGCACTACACAGAGGAGAGTGGTGGCAAGAGGTTTTCAAAAGCTTTGCTATTTTTTTTTGCATTAAAGCACAAACACACACGCAGAGCTTGTTTGTAGCAGCTGCTGCTACTGCAGTTCGAGAGGTAAAATAACACACGCTTTCACAGAGACATATACACGCAAATCGGTATCGCCTCACATGTATACGCTGCATACATAGAAACACCGTTACACACACAGAAAAGGAAAAGTTGGCAAAATGCCCTACCTGAGGATGGCTGTGTCCCCCTGCCTCACGGTGATGTTATCGGTACCTCGGGTAAAATCCACGCTGCGGACTGGCAGCCCTGTAGGGAGAAGGCAAAGCAATCTCAGTAGGACCAGCGGTAATTGTTTCCGATCAGGCTGAGCCCTTGCTACCATGGCTGGTCTCGTCGAGTTTCACTGGCTGTACTTGTCTCTCTCTCTACGTGTGGATGTGGATAGACAGATGTAGAAAGAAAAACAATAATAATAATGTACAACTCTCGCTTTGATCAACAGCCCCAGAAAGGGGAGGTGATTTCACAGTCCTCCTCAGCTGCCACTTTCTCTTGCTCTTTTCAGTCTCTTGTTGGCTCCTTTCCCCCTCTTTTATTTTTTTTAAGGCTTTCCAAAAAAAAGTCTTAGCACAACCTTCAATTAAAAAAGGAAAGAAAAAAAAAAGAAAAGAAAATGAAAAAAAGCAAGCGGAAAAAGTCAGGTAACAAAACAATTAATAACCAACAACAATTAAGTCGACCCGTTTGGAGTGATGGAGAGAGGTGCGAAAAAAGGAAGAGGAAGAAGGCGAGTCCTGCGCCGCCGGGCTGGGCGAGTGGATGGTCCTGCTACAGTGCGCGGCTGTGCAGCCTCCCAGCCCCAGCTCCCTTCCTAACCCACTTTCCCAGGCGGAGCGAGGGAGGGAGGGAGCGGGGGAGGGAGAGAGGAGGGAGGAGGGATGGATGGAGGGAGGGAGGGAGCCTCACTCGTGAGACGGAGGCTCGGCACCACGGCGGCAGGGAGGGCGGGAGG